GCTTTTTAATAGAAGGGAAATTTTATTTAAAAAAAAATGAAAAAAAAATATTTAAAAAACTTTAATAAATTTTACAAAAAATTTTTTTTTAAAAAAAAAAATTTTTTTTTTGTTTTTCTTTTAATTTTTTTTTAGACAAATTAAAAGTATATTTTGTTTTTTTTTCCTCCCGAAAATTTTCTAAAAAATATATTTTTCCCCATATTTTCTATTTTGGAAAAAAAAGGGGCCATTACAGTTCAAATTTTATTAATTATAATTTTTTGGCTTTTAAAAACCCCCAAAAAATTTTTTTGAAAATTAGGTTTCAAGATAAATTTTTTTAAAAATTTTTTGGGAAAAGAACAAATAAATTAAAAAAAATTTTTAAAAAAATGGGTTTACAAAACCCCCCAAAAAAAAATTTTTTCGGTTAAAGGGTTTTTTTTGTTTAAAAAAAAAATACAAAATAATTAATTTTGGGGCCCTTTTTTTTTGTTTTTTTAGTTTTTCTTAACTTTTCCCCCAAAAGTTTTTATATGTTTTTTGAGTAAAAGTTTTAATTTTAAAGTTTATTTGAGTTTTTGGTTTCAAAACTTCTTATTAAAGATTTTTGCTATTAATAACAGTTTGGATTAAAATAGTACTGTTTGTACCTCGGATGAAATGTTTATAAAGAAGTCTTTATAGTAAAGATTTTTAAAAATAATTTCAAATGGTATTTTTATTGTTTATTTGTAATTTAAGCTGATTGCAGGTAAAAAAAATTATAAATAAACGTCTTCATCGTGTGATAATATCACCAACTGAATAAGATAATTATTAGAGTAAAAATTTGGTGCATCAATGATTAAGTAAGGCATCAAATGTACACGATTGAAAAAATGTATTATCTGAAACAAAATTATTCTGCTTAAACTAGTTTTTATTCATCAATACTAAACATGAAAAAAAAAAGTTTCTACACGCCTCACACATAAATGACAAATGGCATATTTTGTATTATATTGATACTCGAAGTTCTCATGTCGGCGTGGTGTGGAAGTTTGGACAATGGGGAGCTAGCTCAGATGTCGTTCTTGCCACTTGAAAAGTTCAGAATAACAAGATCCGTTGCCAACAGATTTCGAGTTGATTTAGATTGAGCGAAGTTAGTAAAATTAGTTAATTATATATTTTATTTAATATTAAAAGTGAAAGTTTTTCCTTTTTTTGAATTTTTTTATAATTGAATCAAAAAGCTAAATTAAAAACAAATTCAAGTTCTTTTGGATAAAAAAAGACATTTTAGTAAGATTTTTAAGAGTCGTAAGATAAAAACTTTTTATGTTTATCTTTTCGGTCTATTCATCAGAAAAAAGTAATTTTTAAATTTTTTTTAAGGTATCCAAAAATTGGAACCCGTTTTAAAAAGCCTAAATGGAAAATTTTATGATATTTAGTGTCACTTAATTAAATGTTTACAGAATTTTTTTAAAGGAATTATAAAAAAAATTATTTAAATGCAAATTTTTGGAAAAATTAACTTAGAATAACCTTTTTTAAAACGCTCCCTTTTAAAAAAAAAACTTCTATAATAATAATATTTTGTGTTGGGTTTTTAAAAGTAAAAACTTTCAGAGAATCTGAATATATAAAATATGGATAAAAATTCACTTCTAAGCAAAATATTTCAAAAATTTTAAAAGCCTCTGCAGAGGTTTGAGCTATATACAGGCAAATATTAGAAATATAGAAGCATTTTTTTATAAAAAGGGGAATTTTTGTGGTTCTTTTGTTCATTTTTTTCAAAATATTGTACTTAAATAATTTTTTATTGTTATAATATTCTTAAAACAATTTTGTATACGCTTTCTAATCTAAGTGACACTAAATATCATAAATATTCTTTTATACGCCTTTGCAAAATCTCGGTTCCGAACGTAGTCGGATACCTTAAGTTATGTAAAAGTCTTCTGAGTCATCAAATACAATTTAACTTGATACTATATTTTGAACCCTAGTATTAAAACTGGTTCCTTTTGAGAGCCTGAAAATATTTTTTGCTTCGCTATTGACTTATTCGAGATTCGTAGAGCAATCACATTAAATTACGAAATATTTATCTCAGTTTGTTTTTTTAAATTTTAATATTTCTTTCCGCTCTTTGAGTCGATAAGATCGATTTTTCATCGCATTCCTATCGAGTTATTTAGTTTAGGAATTAGATGTCGTCATTTTTTGAACTGGTCAGATAAACTTTTGAGCACATGTCAGAGATAAAATTCTTAAATGTATGCATTATTTGAAGTTAGACTTTTTTTGGGGCACGCGTTTTTTTCAATGAATATTTGAAAAAAATTTTGAAATATTAAAATATTTAAAAAACTTTAAGGGATATAATTCAAATGATTTAAAAAAAGGAAAAGTAATTTTTGATTTTTAAAGATTAGAATTTTAGTTGTTTTTTGGAAAAAAAAGATTTAAAAAAAATAACAAAAAAAAAAAAAAATAAATTTTTCAAAAAAACAGAATCCCCCTTCCCCAAAAGTTCTGCTTTTTTAAGGTTCCTTTAAAATATTTTCCTTAAAAATCTAAACCTTTAGACTCAACCAAATTTTAAAACACAATTTTTATAAACCCTTTAAATAAATATGGCGCAAAATTTTTTTTTTCTAGAAATTAGAAGCGGTTTAATTTTTCTTTCATTTCATTAACAACTCTGAAATCTTATTTCATGAAGGACAAAATTTTAAAAAATTGAACCCTTTAAAAAGAAGGCCCTGAAAAATGGTTTCCCCTTCAATTTATCAAAATAATTAACTAATTTTTAATTTTCTATTCTTAACAAATAAAAGCAATTAACCCAAATTAAAATATTTCCTTAACCTTTTAAAATACTTCTAAGATGTTTTAAAAAAATTCTAAATAGAAAAAAGGGGAATTTTTTGATTTTTAAAGATTGAAGTTGTTCTAGTTGTGTTTCATACTGGGATACATACAAAAGAGATAAAAGAATAGAAACACACAATACAAACACAGAAGAATATAGACTTTTTTTTCAATAACAAACGATGATCCCAGCATTGCCCAGAGGAGGTGCGCTGCTTTCCATTCGAGACGGGAATCCATTTCAGGCGAAAGTCCGACTTCTTTTCCTGAAGGTACATCTATGCCTTATTCAGGATTCGAACCAACTCTATTACAAGCCAAGTGCCATAAACATCATACTAGGTGAGGCGGCAAAGATTGATAATATTTATAACATTAAATAGTCTAAATTCACGAAGTCGGTGATTAATTTCATTCTATTCATGTTCACTCAACAAACTACATGATAAATCTTTATTTACATCGTATTCAGTAGCGATAGATTTCACAATTTTGAACCACGGTCAAGTAACGAAGGTGCCGCCTGAACTGGTGCACCACTTTCCCAACTTCTACACCATGCCAACGTAGGGACTTGAAGCCTGTACAGATTTAATATGCATCATTCTCTCTACACAAAGGATGAAAGGGGCAAATCACTATTTTTAAGAATAGTTGTACTGTGAAAACCTGAAAAATTATCAATTTCTGGCTAAAAAATTGATTTTTATCAAACTTTATTACTTATACGCAAGACATTACTTGTGTGTTAATTGGGAATATTTTTCAAATCAGTGTTTCATGAATAAAAAACAGTAATGTGTTACTAAGCTGTAACAATTTATTACAGTTTTTGAATATGAAATTAGATGCCAATTAAAACCCATTTAAATAACATGAATAATGTTTAATAATTATTTTTGATTATTTAAAAACTTCTCTAATTATTAATGATCAAATACGTTACAAATTAAGCACTTGCTGTTTTTAAGTTATTATATTTAGTAAAACAAACTTCATTTCTACCAGATACCAGCAAATAATGTAAAAATCTCTAACTTTCTTTCTCTTGTAAAAAAGAAAATTTGTAAAAAAAATAGTTTGAGAAATTTTATTTCAAATATCTCCTATGCCACTAGACTCAATAATTATTTTATATATAAGAAATTTTATAAAAAATTGCTTAGAAAATGAAGAAAACAAAAAGAAAACAGAAGAAAATTCCAAATTGTATCTTAGATATAATATTTAAGAAAGCTAATGCTCGAATTGCCGAAGTGTGTGTGAATCAAAGCATTTTCTTTTCTAAAAAATTATTTTCTTTTAAAGGTATGATAAAAATAAGTTTTAAAATTTTTTTTTTACAATTGAGGGAAATTTTACTTGATTGATAAAACATTAGATTTTTTTGGCAAATTTAATTCCTTAACTTAAAACTTTCTACTTACGACTTCAAGACACGCTTTTCACGAGCCCGAACAAAAAGGACATTAACCCTTTTGATTCATAAAGTTTATTGGATTTAGGTACGTGTACTAAACAATAATTTTTTTCTGTTGCTTCTTGCAATTGAAGTACATTATTTTTTTATTGGTGATGTCTTAAAAACGCTTATTTCCGTATTTCAAGTCATAGTGATAAAAGATAACAAAAACGCTCAAGCTATGCTTAAAATGTCCACAAAAAATAGGTTGTTATTCTACTAGCCACTTTGTTAACAGATACATTAAGAATTTCGTTTGCATTATTTCAACGGATGTTTATTTCCTCGCTTTGAGTTTTTGATATATTTTTAATCGTTTTATT